CTCAGCCTCCCAGAGTGCCAAGGTTATGGCTGAAGCTTATGGCACCTGTCCTGAACACTGCTGACTGGTGACCTCCCTTCTCACTCTGTCCCCCATTCGTGGTTATTGCTGGCCTCACACTGACAGCTGCTCTCCTCAGCCCTCCGCTCACTGTTCCTTGTGCTAATGTCTCCTTCACTTCTCAGTGGTGAAAGTCACATTTTTAAAACGGCAAATACGCATTCACTGCTAATTTTAATCCTCTTTCCACTAGAGAAGTGGTTTCTTATTTTTATTTTTTCTAAACTAAAGAGAAATATGTATTTGGGACTTTATTCCAAGAACCTGAAGAATGCCGGTGATATAAATCACACTTAATAGGACATGTACTAACATCTTAAAAGTTCACTCACTTTTTCTCATTTCTGAGAAGTCCAGAGATCAAATGATCTGATAGAGAAGCCAAGAAAACCGAGACACGTGCTCACGGTGTGTTCCCTTCTCCACAGCAACACACTAAGAATCTGGACACAAACTCACACCACGCAGGCACTGCAACAGTGCTGTGTGGAGAAACACCTCTATTTACCTACTGCTGTGTTTGGTTGTGCCTGCAGGAGTCAGTGGCACAGTCTAAGCAGCAGGAGCCCAGGAACCACTTGTGTAATAAGGCGGCAGCTACTGTGCCCTGACCCTGTCTGCCCAGCTCACCTGGGTCTCTTGGCAGCAGACTGGGAGACAGCTCTGCTTGGGCCTTGCTGGAGAACCTGATGTGGCCGTTTCCCTTTCCTTACTATGACTATTTGTGCTTGGCGTAAGACAGGTAGTGGCCAGTAGGTTGTTTAAGGAGATTCTGGGTAACTTTTAGGAACAATTTCATCACTGATACAGATAACGGCAGAACAACGTGGAATACCTAAGTGTGACCATTGGTTGGTGGATTTTTCAGTTGTCCTAAGGAGGATCGTGTTTCTATTGTTCTTGCTTTATGATACTTTCCCACTTGTGAAGGGCAAGTTCCTCTTCACTCTTCTTTGTAACTTTCTTGGCTTTCCTAAGTTCACTCCCTAGTGATAACTTTTGACTGGACTCACATCTCCTCTCCACACCCTCTGGGGTTAGGGCTGGATTTGTATTTAAATTTGGTTTCCATGAACTGCCCATGGAGGTGGCCCACTCTTCATCTAGCTGGCTTGGGGCACTTCCTGTGCCCAGTAGTGGCTGGGAATTCAGACCACAGCTGCCTGGCCAAGGGTAGGCCATAGCTCATCCCAACAGCATGGCTATCGTCCAATGAGGGACAAGCTGCCTCCACTGCACATGTGCTACCCTCCTGGGAACGCCTGGGAATCTTTGGGGCAAGGTATCTGAAGTTTTTATTTATTTATTTATTTATTTATTTATTTATTTATTTTGGTTTTTCTCCGGTACCAGGAACCGAACTCACGACCTTGCACTTGCCAGGCAGGTGCTTTTGCCGCTGAGCTAAATCCCCAGCCTCTAAGGTATCTTAAGTTTGAACAGGTATGCCTTTGGAAGTTCCTCAGCTGCCAGGCAGCCCTACTAAGGATGCCCCTCTCTTTCTAAAAACATTGCTTTCAAATGGCTGGGCATAGTGACCTATGATACTGATGTGCAGAAGTTAATCTAGTGGACCAGCACACTTTTTAAATGAACAGTTTAGAATAGGAAATGTGAGGGCTTGGGTATGGTGTTACACACCTATAATTCCAGCACTCTGGGAGAGTGAGAATCTTAAATTCAAGCAGAAGAATCTTAAATTCAAGCCCAGCCTGGTGACTTGGCCAGTTGATGAATCGCTGTTTCAAAAAAAAAAAGGGGGGGGGTAGCTCTATGAAAGTTCTGGGTTCAATTCCCAGTATGGGGGTTGGGGGTAAAGGAGGGAGGGAGGGCAGAAAGGAAAGAGAAAGGGAAGGAAAAGGAAGGAAGGAAGGGAAGACCTGAGGTGCTGCTGATAGTGTGCTATGAAATCTTTTCTGTCTCTTCTTCCTAGGATGCTCCTTCCCCTGGACACTTCTTTTTCATTCCAGTACCTCCTCCTGCCTCAGCCTCCTGGGCAGCTGGGATTACAGGCATGTACCACCACAAACAGCATACACAGATATTACTTTTATGAATGCTCAGTATGGGGCTATGGAAACAGGCCAACAGCCCATGCTAGTTCATCACTCTGGCAGGAGCTACAGAGTTTAAATCCAATGAAAGTAAAAGTAATTTATTTTTAATATAATTATCTCTATAGTAAGAACAAAGCAACATAATTTTAAAAATGCCTTTCCTTTGTTTTGTTTGGCTAGAGGCATTCTATAAAGCTGACCATTATCTGGCCTTCAATCACATGGCTTATCACACAGTCCTCTTCGAAGTGCCTCACCAGCAGCACAGCACAGCAAGACAGGACACAGGACACAGAACACAGGGAAGGAGAGGTGTCAAACCTGGCCTTGGAATGTGGTCTCAGTGTTAACAGATGGTATTAACAGCATGCATTCATTTTACTTTTTTTTTCTTAAAGCCTATATTGTGTAACTAAGCTACAACACACTAGTGTGGGAAACCTTTATAGATAATCATCTCGGCATATATACTCTGAACTTTCAGTTCCTACCTCAAACTATATAATCAACTATACAAGTAGCCAGACTTTTAATTACTGTTATATAATATCACAATCAGAGGGGTATGGAAAAAAACTGCTGAGCAACAAAAACAGGAGCCATGTGTGCTACTCATGGAAAACAGCATTTCAGCTCAGTGGTATAAAGGGGTAAGTTATTCAAATGATGTCGGCCATAAAGCCAATCATTTAAAGCTAGCTCCTGACCTCATACCATATATTGCCAACAGCAACAATCCACAAATAAATGACCTCTAATGAAATTTATTTCATACACTAAAAAAATGTAATTTTGCAAGTCAATGATAGGATAGTTCAAGAAGGCATACACATTTAACTGTTTCAAGTTGATTTCTGATGCTTAATAGTAATACTTTTAGTATTGACAATTTCCAATTTATGTCACAATTTACAGAAAATAAGATCTCTATATCAACACCTCAAAATAAGAGATTTACCTGAAGTCCACTTTTGAACTGTGTAACTTCTACAAAGTGTAACTGTTTCACAATGTCTTCAGTTATTACCAATGGAGCATTCTAAGTCAACTGGCTTAAAAATAAATATAATCTCTCACAAAAGAAATAGTCCAGACATCAAGTGGCCACAAGGCTGGTTGGTTCTGTGGTTCAGTGACTCTATCATCCAAGTTCCAGAATCTTCCACTCTTCCTGTGAAGGTCATGAATAAACCATAAGCCTTTGCTGGAAGACAGTACCAGGCATCACATCCAGATAAGGTCATTCTCATGAAAAGACCCTGCTTTTTATTGCTTCAGTCCTGGAGCCTTTGAGGAAACTTTCTCCAGAAACAACCTGTCAGGTGGGTTTGTTCATTTGTCTGGACTTGGGTCCCATGACCATTCGACAGCAACTATTGGCAGTGAGAATGGATTATCATACTAATCAAAACTAACAAGGACTTACTTCCTGTCCCATGAGGAGCAGTGGGTACTAAGACTGCCAGGAAGTTAAGGACAGAGTGATTCACACAACGAAATCTGCCATAAACTCTTACAATGTGTCCTCATGTCCTTCATAAATGAGAAGGAGCAGAGCATGTGCTTACAAACACTACCAGATCAGAAAAAGACAAATGATTCTGATGTTACTCAGTCCCTGTGCTCTATACATACTCAAGCATCTAAATAAAAACAAGATTAAAAAACAAAAATGGTAATATTTTAAGTACAGTTTTTAGTTGTGCAGAATGCAGTAAATACTAAAGCTATTTATCACTCTTGGAGAATTCTGGCTTAACAATTTAAAATCAACTATGCAGGATTTTAAAAAAATCTATTTTATACATATTTATCTATCTCTTTTGCTTATTCATCTATAGTTAAAGACATTATAAAAAAAATTGTTTTTAATGGATGATGTAGTTCACTACATGATCAAATGCATATTTATAAATACCAGGGAAGAATACAAATATACTTTATATCTACCACATGGTATTTCAGTGACAATGCATACTAAAGTATCAACATGGTAATGCTACTTGGAATGAGTAATCTTACAAGTTACAAATTCATAGGGATACAAGGCTGAACATACAATTTCTGTAATGTAACATACTAAAAAACAACCCCCTCCCCATCCTGTCTTCCTTGGGAGCTATTTATATGTGAATTTAATGCTGCACACCTGGCTAGCTATCCTGATGATTTTACATCTTCTGTTTACACAAACTGTACATTTGCTCACAGAAGGTATATTCTGTTTTTCTTTACAAATTTGTTTTTACAACAGAACTGTGTTTTAGTATTAACAATTTCCAAGAGTATGTTTCCACATTCCTTAAACTCAGAATTCCCTGATATGTAAAGCAGTTCGATTCCTTGGTAAAACGCTATCTCATACATTCATATATATATATTTTTATATATATATATTCCACATTTTTTTTTTTTGAGTACTGGGAATCGAACTCAGGACCTTGAGCTTGCCAGGGCAGGAACTATGCCACTGAGCTACATCTCTGGCCCCTAAATATTAATATATTTTTACTCCTGTATATTCTAGTATTTAATGAGTTATATGGTCTTGGTACAGTTGTGGTTTCTGTCCTGTGAATGTCAATGACTAATGCATGGGGCTCAGCCACACTCACTTGCGTGAGTTCTCAGATGCAGTGCCTCTTCCGTATGGGCTTAAGATGGGAGTGGGTGATGGTTTCAGGACTTACCCCTTCCAATACCATCTGTAGATACTTAGGCCCTTTGCTAAAAATGTATAGTATTTGCATATAATCCATGTAATTCTCCCAGTTCAGATCACCTCTAGGTAACTTATAATAACTAATACAACGTAAACAGTTGTTGAGTTGTTGTACTATATTGTTTAGGCAATAATGACAAGAGAAGTCTGCATGCGTTCAGTACAGTTACAATTTTTTTACTAAATATTTTGACTGGTTGAATCCATATATATAGGACCCATGCACACAGAAAGCCAACTGTATAATAGTGTTTGACTTCTGATATCAGTGTCTTGAAAGGGCTGTCTGAGGCCTAACTTCAGAGAAGCTGTCCCATATCAACTACATTCACATTCCCTCTCCTATGAATTCTCTGATGGCTATTGAATGCTGACTTATGGTAGAATTTCTTCCCACACTCAGTACATTCATAGGGTTTCTCTCCTGAATGGGTTCTGTAGTGCACAGTGAGGTATGACATCCGAGAGAAGGCTTTTCCACACTCATTACATTCGAAGGGCTTCTCTCCAGAATGGATCCGGTGATGGATGGTGAGATACGACATCTGGGAGAAGCACTTCCCACATTCATAGCACTCATAGGCTTTTTCACCTGTGTGTGTTCTCTGGTGTCTATTAAGGGCTGAGTTCTGGCAGAAGGTTTTCCCACACTCACTACATTCATAGGGCTTCTCTCCTGAGTGGATTCTGTGGTGGATGGTGAGGTAGGACATCTGAGAGAAGAACTTCCCACAGATGTAACACTCGTAGGGCTTTTCTCCTCGGTGAATCCTGCGGTGTCTGCACAGGGCAGAATTCTGGTAGAAGGTTTTCCCACACTCACTGCACTCATAGGGTTTCACTCCAGAGTGTGTCCGGTGATGGATAGTGAGGTAGGAGAGCTGGGAGAACAGCTTTCCACACTCATTGCATTCATATGGCTTTTCCCCCGTGTGCACCCTCTGGTGCCGAAGAAGGGCCGAGTTCAAGTAAAAAGTTTTCCCACACTCAGCACACTCATAGGGCTTCTCCCCGGAGTGGGTGCGATAGTGCACAGTAAGGTACGAGAGACGTGAGAAGAACTTCCCACACTCGTTGCACTCGTACGGCTTCTCACCTGTGTGTGTCCTCAGGTGGGTTGTGAGCGTAGATTTGCGGCAGAAGCACTTGCCACACTCACTGCACTTGTACAGCTTCACCCCCGTGTGAATCTTCTGGTGGTCATTAAGCGCTGACTTTTGGGAGAAGGTCTTGCCACAGTCGTGACACACATAGGGCCTCTCCCCTGAGTGTGTTCTCTGGTGCTGTGTGAGGTGCGTCTTCTGGCAGAAGGCCTTCCCACAATAACCGCACTCATAGGGCTTCTCTCCTGAGTGAGTTCTCTGGTGTTGGATAAGGTGTAGCTTCTGGTAGAAGTTTTTCCCGCATTCATTACATTCGTAGGGCTTCTCCCCTGTGTGGGTCCTCTGGTGCACTGTGAGCGTCCCCTTCTGGCAGAAAGACTTCCCACACTGGTTGCATTTATAAGGTTTCTCTCCTGTATGAGTCCTCTGGTGAATAATGAATTTTGACTTTTTACAGAAGGACTTCCCACATTCCTGGCATTCATAGGACTTCATGTCCACGTGAGATCTCTGATGGCCACTGAGGTCTGACATTTGGAGAAATGCTATTTCAGACTCATTCCAATTATAGGGCTTCTCTTCCATGTGATTAACAAAAACTGAGTCCTTCTGGAAGGCTTTCTGGCATTCGATGTATTCAAAAGGTTTCTCCAAAATATGCACTTTCTGATAAATACTCTCTTCTTTTACAGCGTAAGTTCCTCCATACACATCTCCTGGATGGGTTTTCTCAAGCTTAATGTGGAGGAGTGATTTTCCACACCCACTACATTCATCAGGTTTCATTTTTGCATAGCTTCCATCACTACTAATGTATTCTGAAACAGACGTTAAACTCTTTTCACAGGCATCACATTTAAAGGCTATTTTTCTTGAAGAAACAGGGCTCATTTGTACACTAAAAGCTTTCTCAGAAACACTACCTCTCTCTTCAACCAGGGTTTTATTGAAGAACACATGTGCATCTTGCTGGACTCTCTCCATCAGGTCATCAGCTTGCCAGACTTCATCTAAAAAGAGACAAAATGAACTGACTTTTGTGTATCCTCCAGCCCAAGGTACACAATGAGACTAGGACACAGCATCTCACTGTGGGGCAGGTGCTAGCTTCATGGGAAGACACAAAGTGCCTCCCCCTCACTCTGTTGTTCAGAGTAAAACACACACAACCCTCCAGTGGTGGGGAAAGGAAGTAACTACCAAAAACACAGCACCTTTGACCTTTGCTACTTTGTAATATTTTGCTCAAAACTGGCTCTACAAGGTGAGATACAGACATAGAGCAATTAGTGGTAGACAAAGGATGTTGGGTGGATGGCTAAAGAGAGGTATGAAAGGACTAAGGACAGATAGGGCAAGCCCACAGGGCTCAGCTTAGAGGTGAATGACACTTGGCTCTGCATCATTTATTTCATTATATCCCTGAGAGAGATGAGTAATCATATAAGGAACTGTCCCCTCATGCCAGGATTTTATGGCAGCACTTTGATGACTTTGCATGTTCCACACTACTCTGCCTTTTTTCCCATTCCACATAGTAGTGCCAAATAAATTTACACCTAAATTTCTTTCTTTTTTGGGGGGTGGGCAGGATCTTGCTATGTAGTTCAGGTTGGCCTTGAACTTGGTTAGGTGCCTAGGCTGGACTTGAACTCATGGTGATCCTGCCTCAGCCTCCTGAGGGCTGGGATTACAGGCATGAGCAACTATGCCCTAAGTTTTTCACCTAAATTTCATGTTTAGAGCCAATGACTAGGTTTCCCCCTCTAAACTCTGCCTCACTTAGAAAGAAAGTCTTGGAACATCTGTTTCCAGTAAGAAGTATATGTGATCCATAGAGCAGGCCACCTTTCCAAAAGTTCAGACTTCTTAAACATTCTAGTGATGCTGTGATTTAGTACTGCACTCATTTGAATGGGCAATTCCTTTTGTTCCTATTTGGAGAGTGGAGCAGAACGTGGGTGAGGTGACTGAGCGAGCTAGGAGGAGCCTGTATGGACAGCATCCCACCTGAAACGCGGCAGTGATGGCTTGACCTCCAGGCATTTTGTGGGATTACTTGAGACAGCAAGGTGCTCAAAACAGCTTTTGGCAAAAAACAGAATATGCTTGGTAAGTTGAGCAATTATTTTTCCTATGCTAGACATACTGTCACCATCTAATTTTACATGCGAGTTAGTTAGTGTTCAAACCTTGAGGACAGATCCCTCAGCCTGCTCCCACAAGAGTGGCTTTCACTTTCACTCATTTCAGAAATTCTGGAGTGAGTGTGACTGTTGCCCTGGCTGTCATCCACACAGAGTGAAACCATGCTAACCTTAGTGTCCTGAACCTATAGCTTCCCTGAAGCCACTGCCCAAACACAAAAGATGAAAGGGGCGGGCGGGGAATGAAACCCAATAAACAGTACTTTTTCACAACCTGGATTCATAATGACTCCACGCAAGGTAAGTCACCACTAAAATTATTCTGTCCCAGGAAAACCAAACTATTTGTTGGATGCTGACAGTCACAAGATACACCCAAGTGGGGCTTGGTTTTGGAGAGGCTGATCAGAACTTCACTCACGGAGTCACAGCAAGGTGGCAGAGACAGATCGCCATCTCAGGCGCCACCGACCGCGCTGACTGCTGTGACATGGACAACATGCCCCACAGAGCTGCAGCCACACATCTTGGCTCTTATATTTCACTCCCTTTACTCACTTCTTGCCTCTGGCTACTTAACGCCTTTCTTTAAAGGGGTTTTCCATGCTTCCAAATCCTTTATTACCTCAAGGAACTCCATTTCCCCCTTGAAGGTGAAAACAAGCGCGGCCCATAAAATCATTTCAGCACAGTGCAACTCAGCCTTGCAGGAGAACATCAGCACTCCAGGTAATATGCTGAGTTTTAAACTACCTCAAGTAGTTCTGTTCCCTTGTCTTAGTGAAAACCTAGCTCCTAGAACAGTGATGACGAACCTTTTAGAGCTTTCAGTGATACAAACAGCCCACTGCAGCATGCGTGCCATAGGTTCACCACCAGTGTCCTAGAAGTACGACTCTGTTCCTCTTTCTTTTGAATAGAAACTAGAGAAGTTGTTCTTAATCTGAATCATATAGGATTTTTCTAGTTCTTGCAAGTGACTCAGGCATGTGTATTCAGAAATAACTGCCTATTCATATTTCTGAAAGAATGGACAAGAAAGCCCTTTGACTTACCTGGCTCCTCAACCAAAGAAATAAGTATCTCTATGTGACCGTACTGAGAGAGGAGAATATGTGCTTTTCTTTATAGGATTGTAATCTAGGACAGCAAAAAGCTCAAGCAAAATCTACATCCTATCCAAGTATAGAGTCCTTGATCAGAAGTTACTTCTTTTAGGTTTTTGATGTGAGGTGGAATGGAGAGGAAAGAAAGAAGAGTGGGGCAATGCTAAAGGTCAGCAAGGAATCAAACTTCACAAAGGCTGGAAATTTGAGCTCAGACTTAAAGAATATGTTGTCTGGAAAGCACAAGACACACCAACGACACATGAAGCCAGAGGGATGAAAGTCTCAAAAAGAGAAGACTTTAGGAGTGTGCATCAAGCGAGTTCAGCAAGCATTTGGGGCAACTATTTCTCCCAGGTGGTACAGGGCTAATACTGTGGTGATCTGTGAGGGTGCAGAAGCTACATTTCCTTCAGGAAGCCATAACGAATGGGAGAGGCTGTTTTGTGAGGCTAGGTGTAAGATCAACTGCAGACTTCAGATGAAGACACCTTGTGAACCTAGTTAGGATTCACAGCAAGCCAGTCGTGACAGAGGCGAACAGTTCTTGATTACATTAAGTCAAGGGAAATTGAGTACACAGAGGATTAAAACACCGCTGTTGTCACATTCCTATAATTCCAGCCTCTGAAAGGCTGAGGCACAGGATGATTTAAGTTTCAGTCCAGCTTGGGTAACTTAGTGATGAGGTGTGACCTTGTCTCAAAATAAAAACCAAAAACATGGCTGAGGATGTAGCTCAGTGAGAAGGCCCTGGGTTCAATTCCTAGTACCACTGAGAAGAAAACAAACAAAAATCTCATAAAAGACAAAACTCGTTCCTCTTCTAGAGATCAGTAATGCCTGCTGAGAAGTGTATTTTTATTGATTATACAGGGACTATTACAGGGAAAGAGAAGACTATTAGTAGTTTAGCAAAGGAAGGTGCTGGGTAATTATAATTTGGAAGAGTTATCAGTTTTCAGATATATGAGAACAAGAGAAGCTCTGTGGTCACAGAAAACACTGAGTCTATAGGATGGTGGCACAGATGTCCGTTTTGGTGGGTGCAGTACAAAAACAAAAACCCGACAGACTCAAAGCCCTTTGAGGAAATCATAGCAGGAGGAAATGGATCCCTGAAAGACATTTCTGGAGGAGGTGGAAGGACAAATCAAACATTTATGGATATAATACCCACTGAACAGCTGCTGTGATAGAACACTATTTAAGGCACTGGGAATAAAGCAGTAAGAGCCAGGATAAAAACGAGCACTTAGGAAGAGAGGGAGCCCAGTTATTGCTGTCACCAGACTTCGGAGGGGCTGGATTTCAGGACGGACCAGCGCTATCAAATTAAGTACAATCACGTGCCACTGAAGTAGGCTGACTACTCGTTTAGGCAGAGAAAGAGAAGTAAAAAGTGAAACTGGCCATAGTAACACGTCTGGGGCATTTTAAAGTAAAGGGGGATCCCCCTCCCCCAAAAAACCCAGGACGATAACATAAAAGCCCCTTTTTCAAAAAAAACACTTATAAATAACTAAAAACAAAAGGGATCGAGGATAATGGGTTACTGAAAATACTAGAAGACTGAGCAAAGCCCCAAGGCTCAAGAGGAAGAAGGCTTCTGGGTAGTGGTAAGCAGGGCAAAGCTCCATAAACATGTTCGTGTGAGAAGGAAGACGTCTTTGGGAGTGAGAGTCAGGCACCTACTGCATAAAAGTAACTATCTTTAGTCAACTTCAAAAGGTTTGGGACCATCAGTTTCTAGGAGACATTCCCCAGTTACCAATCTCCTCTCTGCCTCCACTAACACACCTGGGTAGCTCTGAGGTGGGAAAGCTCCTTCTACTATCCATGGCTCTTCTCCTTGCTCCAACTTGATGATAACATCCGGTTTGATAATGTGACACCCTGTTAATGAGAAATGAAAGAGAACTTGAGCCTGACTGCTTGGCTTCAGGGTCTCCTCGTGCGGGGCAAGTGCCACTGCGACATACAAAATGCCCAGCTGCTTGATGAAAATCAAAGTTTTCAGTGGAGAGGTCTAGAACACCGAAGCACCCTGCCTGGTGCCCCAAACAAAGCACTCATCTTTGTCCCAACAAATTCAAAGTCAAAGCCATTAAATCTGAGAGAAATACCATGGATTTTAGTAACTGAGAGAGCAAGCTGTCCTCACCCACAGAGACGAGGTTGCTATAGTTCTCCAGCATCACATCCCTGTATGTCGTCTTCTCATTGGCATCCAGCTGCCGCCACTCCTCCTGGGTGAAGTCCACAGCCACATCCTTGAATGACACTGGCCCCTGCAATGGTATGGTGACCCAAACTGGGTGATGTGGAAAGGGCATACAGGGACAACACCTTCTCAATGTCACTGGAAAAGTTAACCGTGAACACTGTATACCTTATTTTATGTTAGACCTTAGAAGGAAAACACACATATCAGACATGCTGCCACAAGGCACAGGCATATACATTAAGACAAAGAAAATACTGGGCTTGTGCTGTGAGCCAGGAGCAATCTTGGCTATTAGGAAGCCTAACTAGGAGGTACAGCCCTGGAAGAACGTCGTCTGTGGGGCACTCGGCAGACTCTGGGATGCATTATTTAGCCAATGATGCTTCTCCCCTTACCTCCCAGCCACTGTCAGGCATCCCTCTCTTCTCCAAGTCTCCCTGCAGTTGGATGGCCCTGGGGATCTGTCTCTGGCATTTTCTCTTTGCTATAGATACTTGCTGCTTTGACAGTGAGCCTGCCTGGCTTCATGGCTAACGTGTCAGCTCTCTACCAGCGTTTCCCGAATTTCTATCACCAGGCTAGGCCTCTCTCCTAAACTTGACACTCAGGTCGCAGATCTTAAACTCAACAGACCTGAAATTCAGTTGCTATTTCTGTCTACACTTGTTCTTCCTAGTGTCTACTGGAACTGCTCTCCAATTCTTGCCACAGTCAACAAAGCAGTAAGTAAGCCAAGCAACTTTCACTTGTTTTCTGTCTTTTTCTCAGTCCTATGTCCTAGGAACTGAACCCAGAGCCTCACACATGTAAGAGCAAGCACCCTTCCACTGAGCTGTACCTCCAGCCTAGTTTCGTATCTTATAGCAGGGTAAGCTTACAGCCTGCCACATGAGATAGCAATAACAGCTTGGCCTGGCTGTTCCTAACTCCAGCTGGAAACTGAATCCCCTTTCTTCCCATTTACACATTCCAGGAAAGGAGAAGCACATTCCTGAGAAAGACAGGTAACTACTGGGTAACTGATAAAACTCCATCTTAAGATGGGTGTCCTTTGAATAAACCCGTCCCATCCACAAATACACCCCGTACTACAACTGGTTCCTTCAGTATCATCACTTCTACAATAAAGGACAATGGTCCCTGTCATACACTACCATAGCAGCAGGAAATGGGGGCTTTGTGGAAAGGCACTTAACAGAGCTTTCGGGACATGATATACTCATCAGTGGTATCTATGGATACTGCTGAATACTGTATGTTATTGATTTTCAAAACAGGACTAAACATTAACCATAAAATAAAGGAGCCAGGCACAGTGGTGAACCCCTGTAATACCAGCTGTGGCACTGCAAGGCGGTGGCAAAAAAATTGCAAAATGGAGACTCTCAAAATAAAAGGGCAGGGGATGTGGCTCAGTGGTAGAGAATTTGCCTACCATGTGCAAGGCCTTGGTTTCAATTCCTAGCACCACAACAAAATCAAACAAAAACCTAGAAGTTTAAACAACTGGAAGGTTGGCTGGCTCTTGAGTTTTAGGTACTTGCCCAGAGAGGATCACAAAATGGAAAGAACAAAGGCTTCAGATGATTTCAGCAAAACACAGAGGCAGGACAGATATGGAAAGGTGGAAGAAGAAAGGCTACTGATAACTAATGTTTCTGAACATGCTAGCGTCTCTGTGTGCAACCATCAGTGCATGCAGCAAGGGTCCTACTGGCAGGACTCCTAAGATGCCAGGTTGTCCCTCAGCTCCAGGTGCTAGGTGTCTAGGATCAGGCTCAGCCAGCCTGGGCAAGTGAAGGAGGTTGGGGTAGAGAGGGCTTAAACTTGGTTCAGGTGTGCAGTGGTGGACAAGTGGCTCCCAGCCCAGCCAGACTGCTCCATGACAGAACCGCCCCACTGGGTGAGAAGGCTGTCTAGAACAGCAACCCTGCAGCTTCCAGAAGCTCTGCCCATCTGTCGTCTGGGTATCACCACCTCTGACTGGACAATCTGATACAACTGCGGGGTTCCAGACGTTTGAACATCTCATCACTCTGCCTCGCTCATTTCTTGGAAAAGTCAGTCTGGTTTCACTTACTGCAATGGAGTATCCCTCCCTGTTTGGTCTGTCCAATGATATCTGTCAATCCAGTTGCTGTACAATGGGTAGAAACAGGCACATGACCTTCAAAGTACTTGAGAGAAGGGGAAGTGTGAAGACTTCATTGATTCAGGAAAATTTAGGAAGAAAAGCAAATAATACGAGTATCTTATAAATAAAAACACAAGAAAGACAAATGTAATGAGATGACCTATACCTATGACTGAAATAAATGTGAATGGACTGAATCTATTTCAAACTGGAATCTCTCTTGTATTAAAAATATCCCAGGGACAGCTGGGTGTCACACACCTGTAATCCCAGTACTCAGGAGGCTGAGGCAGGAGGATTGCCATCAATCTGAGGCCAGCCTGGGCTACATACTGAGTTCAAGGCTAGCATCAACTACATAGTGAGACCCCCATCTCAAAAAACCAAAAAACAAAAACAATCCTAGGGACATGACATGCTCTTTACTAAAAACATACTTAGAATGCATGTTGCTGTGGAAGGGGTCTTTTAGTGCTGCGGGGGTGGGAGGAAGGAGGGCACTCCTTACCTTTCCCACTCCTCCTGCGTGGCTCAGGAGGGCAGGAGTTCAAGGGAAACCATGAAACTCCTTCAGTAAAAACAGTGAGAAAAATGCACATTCCTCAGAGGACTGCAGTGTGAATTAAGAGAGAGGGTGGCTTGCTTCACTTGCCTCTGAAGGTCACAACAGCCTCACATTTGTCAGCGGGTCCCATGTAGCAGCCTAGCTAGAGCTAGAGCTTGCTACTGAGGCCACAGGACTGTGGGTCAGAGGCCTCCAGCCAGTCACTGAGGGTTTCCTGCATGCTGCAAAAGAGATGGACACTCTTGGCCGTGCAGGCTCCACGTCAGACCATCAGGGTACCAGCTTGTGGCCATCTGGGAAACACAATGGATGCAGCACTCCAGAGACAGGAGGGGAGTCAGGAACGCCACAAACGAGAACCATGAACACAGAGTCCTCCCAGCCCCAGCACTGATGTGGCCCATTAAGAAGCTGTGATTCAGTATACAGTGGAGCAGGTGCTGCCACCTGCCGCAAGCTTTCTCCCCCCAAGACATTTAAAAATACATAGTACTTGATTTCTCAAGATGAAAATATTCAACAGTTATATGGTAATGCTGTATAGTGAAATAAAAGAGAAATCAACTTGGAAGAAAATATTTCTTACGTGATTCAAACTGCACAAACATAAACACCTGAGAGTACAGCCGTACACTGGTACTCCACTGCTTTGAAACTCATCAAATTCTGTACTCAATGCATTTTGACAATAAAAATCTTTCCTGGTACACTCGTCATTTGTTACTTAACACAAAAGCTAGAACTTGCCTCGTGATTCACTACCCTTTCCAGCCAAAAGAATTTGGTACTTGCCATGCCTCCAATTAACCATGAGTACCACGGTAACAGTGTACTTACATGTCAACAAGAGAAAACAGGGCTGGGGAGGTAGCTCAAAGGTAGAGTGCTTGCCTAGCACGCACAAGGCCGTAGGGGCTCCATCCTCAGTACAAAAAACCCACAAAACCCCAACCAAGACAAAACCTAAGAAAAACAAAACAACACAGTAGAAAGACTGTATGAATGTATTAGGCATTTCACATAAATGGGCCAGTATAAAGAGCTATCCCATGGTTCCAACCATATGACAATCTGGGAAAAATGGCAATAGAGAGGCAATAAAAAGAAAAGGGGCTGCCAGAGCTAAAAGTGGAAGAAAGGGAAGGATGAAGAGATGGCGCACAGGAGATTTTTTAAAGTAGTGAAACAGCTCTGGATGCGACTATGACAATGGATTTATGGTATCAGAATTTGTTAAAACCTAAACTGTAAAACACAGAGTGGGCCCTAATGTAAACTATACATTTAGAAAATAGTCTTTTTTTTCTTTTCTTTTTCTTTTTGGCTGAGGTAGGCTTTGAATTTCTGATCCTTCTGCCTTGGCCTCCTAGTAGCTAAGATTACAGGTGTGTGCCACTGTGCCTGGGCTCATTTTAGGAAATAATAAAGTGTTGATATTGGCTTATCAATTGTACCACAGTGATGCAAAAAGTTACTAGTCAGAAGCTTTGAGGGGAGAAATCTTTAAAAACTCTGTGATACTTGTCTATTCACTGAAAGAAAAGGGCTTCTAAATAAAACGTACGAATACACTCAAACCTAGGTCTCATTCATGGCAAAGACCTCAACCCCTGGCCTACTGACATTCTTGAGCCTGGAATCCGCTGAAACAGTCCTACTCCGTCTGTCTAGGAGCTCAGCTAGGCTGGAAAGCCGAGTCCCTGACTCCCACCTGCACACGCTCAGCATTTCATGCCTTCCACACTGTCAACTTATGTATTACATCTTTGTATCTGACGACATCCTGCTCTTCTTAGTGTTTATCTCCACTCCCTGATCTCATGGTCCCTTCAATGGCCCTCTAGGACCCTGGGCAGTCCCCCAACCACTCCACCCCATGCTGCTCTGGGCACTCAGCCACATGTCTAAAACCCTCAGCCCTTAAAGGCTCCACTGAACCCACCTCTTTCCCTGGGCCCTGGTCAGGACATTCTGACAACACTGAAAACCAGACCTCTCTGCTTTGTTGTCACTCCAGGTTTCCCAGGCATGAACCACCCACACTTCCCTCAGCACCCCTTATTACTCTGTCAACTGTTGTTGGAGGAGACCAGGAGCTCCCTGAGGTCAAGGAAGGCCTCTTAAAAGCTCATCTCCGTATCTGAGCAACTGTGGCATTATTGACTAAGACAAGAAACAAAACACTAGGTGAGGAGAGGAGCAAGATGTGGGAGGCTTCTTTGGGACTCCAGGCACAAATGGGAGCCACGTCCGTGGGGGATGGCTGGTCTCCACTGCTTCCAGCTGAGAAGCACTCATGCAAGATGTGAGTTCCCCGAAGAACAAACTGTCCATGCTGTGGGAAACAAGGGGGAGAGAACCCCCAGCTGGGGCCACAGGGCTCCCCACCAAGCCCTTGGCCTCACCTTCCCCCTCAGTGGTGCAGGACCTACTTCCCAGAGAAGAGAAGCACACAGGAGGGCCATGCTGTAGGAAACGAGGGGGAGGGAACCCCCAGCTGGGCCACAGGGCTCCCCACCAAGCCCTTGGCCTCACCTTCCCCCACAGTGGTGCAGGACCTACTTCCCAGAGAAGAGAAGCACACAGCTTGAGTCAGCGACCCCTGACTCCCCTGGGCTGACTCAAGGAGCCCTCCAGTCTCTTGCCCCTCCCCTCCACACATCACCCTGTTTGTTCCCCACTGGGTCACCCCCATGCTATTCCTTCCACCACAACACAACAGAATCCTCTCCGACTTCAACTTCTGCTCCAGCAATGGCCCAACTTCTCTTCTCCCCTTTGGGCCAGAATTTCTAAGTTAAGAACAGGCCAGGTCGTAATAACTCTTTCTTAAATCTGCCAGTCAGGATTTACCCAAGGTCCAGCCAAGTGAATCCTGAGGAGGGCCAGGACTTGCCCAGGGCTGAATCCTATGGCCGGTTCTGCCCCTGGACTTCATCGTGAACAACACTCTATAACCTCATGCTCCCAGTTCTCATTCTTGGCTTAGGACCAGCCCCACCCAGCCCCTCCTCCTCTGGCAGATGCTGTACATGGCAAAGCCCTGGGCTCACCCCATCCACGTCCCAACCCAGACTCCCAGCCTAGACTTGTTGCTGAAGCCCAACCCATACCCTGTCTTCCTGTCACTGACACTCATGTAAACAACCCCAGTTTAAAATGGCAAAAACTGGGCTGGGGATTTAGCTCAGTGGCACAGGGCCTGCCTGGCAAGTGTGAGGTCGTGAGTTCAATTTCCGGTACCAGAAGAAAAACAAAACAAAACAAACAAAAAAACCCCCAAAAATAAAATAAAATGGCAAAAATCTACTTGTGGCTTTTCTCAAACCTGCATTCTCCATCTTCTTTTCCCTCCCAGTTCACTAGCAACTTTGTTTTCCTAATCACTCAGGGAGCCTTGTGGGGAGCCAGCAGGATCTCATTAAGAGAAATAGTCAAGGTAGGAAATGCGTTTGAGCAAAGAAAGGAGTAGCACAGAGAGGAAGTTACCAACACAGCCCAAAGACAAAAATATAGCCTGTGTCATGATCGCAGAGACAGGATAAGGGCAAAGGATAAAACCATTTGAAATACAAAACCCACAAATGTGCACAATTACATGTGGCAACAGAGCAGGGAGAAGTTTAGAAGGAGTTCCATTTTCTGGAGAGCTGAAAACGTTTTCTGACCCACTGCTTATGTTAACTTCAGGCATCCTCTGGACATAATCCATGGAGATGCTCAGCACGTGGCTGGACAGAGGCCCCATGTGCGCAAGCCAACAAAGCACTGGCGGTTAGAGGACAGAAGGGTACATGAGCAAAGCTGGAAGAACACAGCAAACCAGAGATGTCAGTGAAACCTATGACAGAAGAGACAGCAGAGTGGGATAAGCCAAGGATGGATGAAAGCCACCAGTGTATGGGTTACAGATACCCACCGTAAGCATATATTAGACCACTGGCAACCTTCACCAGAACAGGGTTGGGGAGTTTCAGGGACACACTCAAGACTGCAGGCTACAGGACAAAATAAGAATAGGAAGTAAAGGCACCTCTGCCCGGGACTCATCACTGCACTGTCCACCGTGCAGCCCAGAGTGACTAGAGAGAGAACAATTTACAGAGACTCATTTAAGGGCGAAAAGCTGTTCCTTCACATGTGCACCTTGAAGTGAGCAGTAAAAACCATACATCCACTGGGCAGCAATGTGTTAAGCACCAGAAAAGTCATGTGCACTGAGTCTTGCCTGAGCAGAACACATTCTGCTTTCTCATTAGTGAAGGACAAGTAAGACACCAGTTGCAGTGGGTTGAGGGTTGTTATGTGGAAGACTATTCATAATCACATCAAAGATATCTTTAAAATCCATGAGGAAACAAATACGTTTCTGCTTACGATCAATGTAAGGTGAGGAAAGGGTGGTTTTGTCCTTTTTTGCCATGAATGTCAAGGATGGGAGACACAGTTATACTCTGGTTTTCAAGATTCTTTAAAGACTGTGTTATTTATGTGAATGGGCAAGCTAAAAATGCCTGGCGCTAGTCACCTGTTTTGTCTGACCATATCTTTTACCTATTTGTATTTCCCATTTTTAAACTTGGAACCTTTATTCAATTCCTAAGGTAGACTGTAAACCAAACCAAAGAATAAACACTGAACAGAAAAACTCACCAGGGATTTCTTCATTTTCTACTGCTCTTGGAATACTGTGGAAGACTGTGAAAGCGGAGGCAGATCTGGGGAAGGAAAATGCAAGCAGCGTCATTACATGCAATCTGCCCCACCACTGCACCAACAGCCTTCATGAAAACCTACCCAGAAAGTTCCTAGAACTTTCCCATAAGTCAGCTTGACGGGAGACTGTCCCAACAGGCTCTCAGAAAAGATCAGAACAAAATAGGAGCAATGCCCATGTGCATGTCATAACCTATATGCCCTTACATGGCTGAGGGGGCTGAGATTTTCATGGAGAATGCACAATTCTACGAAATAATCTGCCACTACTACATGTCAGAGAAAAAATGAATTCTATCACACAACACTCACCTATTTTTGCACTGATTCTTAGCTACTAAAGACGAGCAAATTGTCTTGGTTACTTTTCTCTCGTTGCTGGGACAAAATACTTGATGCCCAAAATTAAGGAAGGAAAAGTTTATTTCGCTTACAGTTTGTGGAGGTTTCAGCCCATACTCGGCAGATTACAAGACAGACTGGCACATGGCAGAGGGCTACAGCTCATGGCGGCAGAACACAGCAAAAGCCACAAACACAAAAGGGAGGAATGGGGGAGGAATGGCGGCAAGTAGCCTCTTCCTCTTCCTTACATATGCAAACTATCCACCCCAGGGAGGTGTAGCTCTCGCATCCATAATCAATCAAACTCTAAAAGCCTGCCCCATGACCGCATGAGGCTTTGGGGGGTGACCCAGACACAAACCATAACACAAATCCATAGCATGCTCTGAATAAAGGAAGAGAATCCCATGGTTGGGACTTTATTTGTATAAAGTCGAATGATGCTGCTCAAAACCATCCTTTGTCAAGCCACTGGAACTTAACTGCAATACAGTAGAGGGGGCATGAGCCTGGGAGTTTGAGTCCTACCACTACTCCTACCAAGAAACCCGGTGACTAGTCAACTCACCCACCTGTTCAGGCCCAATCTCTCTTCCTTTACCTATGGAGGCAACAAGGGATCTATCCTGCACTGCGTGAGTCTGCAAGAGCAGATATGAGGGACTCAGCAGACAGAAAGCAAAGGGGGTGACGACGCTTACAGACACCTTGGGAGAATCTGCAGTAACAGGAGGAAGGAGTCTCGGGGTGCGGCAGAAGGGCTGCAGACCAGCGTCCATGGCTGAGGACGGGGACGCCGCCTCCTGGACACACCTCGTCTAGGCAGAGCGCTTCGACCCGCAGAGCCCGCCCCGCGCTCCCCCGACCGACAGTCTCCAGTCTCTCCCGGGGGCTTCCACACCCTCCCTCGCCCCACGCGCTCCCGACCTCGCCCAACCACAAACCCACGCCCTCCCCGCTGAGAATCCGCGGCCCCCAAGCGTTCCGGGAGGGGCTGACCCCGCCGCCTTCATCCCCTCACAGGTCCCGCCGCTCCGGAGGACCCAGGTCCGGGCCCCAACCTGCCCGCCAGGACTCACCGTCCCGCAGAGAATGGGCGGGGCCGCCGAGGTCGCCGCAAGCCGCGCCGGGTCCCGCTGCTACCCGCCCGGCCCCTTCGGCCTCCACTATGGGCTCGGTGCTCGCGCTTCCTTCCCACTTGAGCCTCCAGCCAGCCGCGCGGACGCTGGTCCGCACAGCTGGCGCCTCCTGGTGCTGCCCTCGCCGGTGTCCCGGTCCCAGCACGCTCAACCACGGGAGGCCAAAGCGCAGCGACCAGAGCAGCGGGCACTTGGGACGCACCGGAAGCGGGGGTAGGCCGGAGGCATCGCGCATGCGTAAACACGCACACTGGGCGAGGCGTGCACCGGAAGGCATCGTCCCAGGCCATTCCTAAGAGTACCGGACTCTATTTCCCAAGAGGCTATGCGCCACCAACTTTAGGGATCCGCATAAAGTCTTTGCCTCCTCTGGTAGGATACATGCACTATCCCAGGCGCAAAGGCTGCCTTGAGCAGCGCACTCGTCCGCTTTTGTCTCCAGGCCCTTGCGCTCTAGGAAGGGGCTGCACAGCTACGATCTGGAGCCCGAGTTCTTTCCAAGCCTTGCCACCTTACTGTTAGAACCAGGAGTCTGACACGGAAGGAAAAGATCGTGTTCCCTTAACTAAAATGCTAGCAGACATTTCCCTCAAATACTAGGGTACTGCAAATGTTCAGCGATGTTCTCCAAGGAAGGGGAGAAAAATGGAAGCATTTGTAGACCACACAACTAATGTTTACAAGCTGAAACGGAAAACCAGAAAACAAACCGTAAGAAGAAAATAGATTAAAACAAAACAAAAACCAAAAAAACAGATACCTGTGACCTGCCCTTGTCCAGCATTAATTAGGTAATGTGTCAGGTTTAGAAAATGACACCGTAAGGACACTGACTGTTACTTTCGTTTTGAAATAATACAAGTATCCTTGCCAAATTGTTTTTTACAAGCTAGTAGGGGGAAAATAATAAATACAAATTCCTGCCAACTAAGAATGTCCTCTTCACCAATGGAGAAAACAGTTTCACTACTGTCTAAGCAGCAAGTGAGACTGCGTTGCCCATCACAGGCGGACTACTAAGGGGGCCGCGAAAGAGAGAAACCTCACCTGTCTGTAGCTCCATAGATCCGCGCCACCACGCACTTGGTCCCAAGTTAGGGGCCGCTCATCCTAGGTGAAAGCATTGAATTGCCATTGGCTCTGCGTTATCACTTGGCTGCTCCCCAGTTCACCTGGTAATCAAGGTGATCATCCGTGCTGGTTCATAACTTTATCAAAGGAAAGAGCGAAACTTTATTTTCCTTTAAATCATCTGCTGCTCCTAACCATAGCACCATAGTCACATTGTAAAGAGAAATAGTTTCACATTCGCTCCATACGCTTTGTAATGCGCCAATCAAGAGAAAGACATATCAGCATTTGTGAAAACTCGAACTGAATGAGACACATCATAAATGCACAGACAGGTAATGGAAAACCCATAGCTAAGTCACGTCAGAAGGACAAGTGAAAGTGATCTTTTGCTAATGTATTCTCACTTTGACAACTGACATTATACAATACTGTTTTGCCCTTATTAACCCCTTTGAAATGGATACCTTCTAGCCAAACCCAGTAAGATATTTTGCACAGACTGACAGTCAGACTTTTAAAAAAATCTAGCATTTCTAAATCTGAAAATTTTTGGATAGTTTCCTGTAATGAGTTAAAACTGAGTTAGTTTGAATCTTGAGTGTCCTAAGAAGGCCCAAGTGTTACAGGTTTGGTCCCCAGCCTGTAGTGCTATTGGGAAGTGGCCTCAGAGCTGAGGCCTAGTGGAAGTAAATTAGATCATTGCAGACTGCATCCAGGCAGTGAGAGACCTTTTCGCCTTTGCGCTCTGTGGAGAAAAGGTCAGAGACTGAATTACATGGTGTGGGAAGAACAAGAGCTGTTTATGTTTGTATATGGAAGAAATGTCCAAATTCTCAATCAGAGCGTGCTGTGACTCAGCCTGCCATCATGATGTCAATCTTGAATTCCCCTCTGCTTTCCCAGAGCTCTGAAACAGTAAAGGGTGCTGGATTAAATACCTCACCCTGTTGGAGGTTACTGTGTAGTTTGCCACCCTGTTCCAGGCCATCTCAGGGCTCCTTCCTCAGTACTAAGTAGTGGTATGTGCACAAGGTTGGGTGCTGAGCCCATCCTGATGCTGTGGGCCCCCAGGGCCTCTGCAGCATTTAACCTCTCCTGCCCATGTGAGCGTCTCCACGGCTGCTGCCTAGAAGGGGCTAGGTGACCAGGACCCTCCTGTCCAGCCTTTACTGCTGGGGGCGTGGCAGCCCTTACTGCTCCACCTGGGTTCACCTCAGTGGAGTGATAGTGACAGTGGTGTGAAGTAACCACATCTCCAACCTCCAGTGGGCCTTCCTCCCTGTGCTTTTCTGTAGGGTCCGTGCTTGGACCCTTTGAAGCTGCCTGGTAAAGAGGGGCACAAAAGGTGCCAGTCTGGATCTCAGGTCTCCCGGTTGTCACCTGGCATGATCCACTGACCATACTCAGTCCAGACAGGAGCCTCTTCACCTGGCTTCTCTCTGGTCTTCTGCCATATGACCTCCAGCTGGTGTCTCCATTGATTCTCAACTCTGTCCCTTCCACTCAGGGACACTACTGCCTCTTTGAGGGTCCCATCCTGTTCAGTGGGTTAAACACTCCCACTTTGGCAGTGGAACTGGCTGTCCCAGGGAGGGATGGCCTGTCTGCCAGGGCTCTAAATTCTTGCTATATGAACTTTCCCCTTGTTTTACATTTCTTTCAGTTGGTACAGTAAATATGGATGTGATTCCCCTTTGGGCAGGAGCAGCAAAATTTCTCCTTCATTGCTATTTTCGTCTTCCCAAGGGCCCTGCCCAAGCATACTGCACCTCCCACAAGCATCTTAGTAGCTCATTTACTTGAAAGGGTGGTGTTTTTTCACTGAGGAATCCAGTTCCATTCTTCCACCAGAGAATTGCAAGTCAGGCCCTATTCCAGTCCTGCTGAACTAAAGACTATGAAACTAGGCCCAGACATCTGCATTTTAATGTTCCCCTATGTGGTCCTTATACTGAAAGTGTGTTATTTGCAAAGCATTTCTGTTGCACTCTGGTATTTCTACAGTACACCTATAGCTGCTGCTTATTAAACTAAGCAGCCTAGGAGCCAAAAAGAGGTAGAGAGCTACAGTATAGCTCAGAGATAACCTTCGCTGCTTAGTCCTTCTTGGAGAAGACACCAATGCATTTTAAGATGGCACTGCCTAGTTTTATCTGTCTAGGTAGGGTGGCTAAGACAGAGAAATGGGCTTGAACTGAGAATTTGAGCTTGAATTGTGATCTAACTAATCAGGACTTTGCATGGTACCGAGGAAAAATTTTAGAGAGCAGAATTTTCGTTTTTGAGAGAGGGTCTCACTATGCAGTTAAGGTTGGCCTTGAACTTGCTATATAGCCAAGGCTCACCCTGAACTCACTATGTATCTCAGACTGGCCTTGAACTCATAGCGATCCTTCTACCTCAGCCTCCCAAGTGCTGAGATTATGGGCATGTGCCACCATTACTTGCTTATTAGAGGGCAAATCTATTACATTCATGTATACCTTATGGATGATGTCTTAGTTACTTTTCTCATTGCTGAGACAAAATACCTGATGCCTAAAGTTAAAGGAAGAAAGATTTACTTGGCTCACAGTTTGTAGAGGCTTCACTGTATAGTCGGTGGGCTTCAAGACAGGGTATTATGACAGAGGGGCATTGCAGAGGAGAAACAGTTCATAGCTGGCGTAAGGTAGAAGGCAGAAAGGCAGCAAGCAGGAAACTACAAGCAACAAGCAGTGACCCTCTTCCTGTCCCTTGTATCTTATCCAGGCTACCCACTCGTAGGGCAGATAGCACTCCCACCCAGGGTTGGGCAGCCTTAAACCTAGCATCATAACAGGAATCAGTCCCAGCATCACATCGTTGATCCCAGCAGCAAGCACCGTAGATCCAGACACCTCCAAAGAGCCCTACCTGTGAAGCATGAGGCTTGGGAGGGACATCTAGATACAAGCCATAACAGATGGATAGGTTCTAATAAATGTGGCCTTGGGCATGTTTGTTCATGAAGGAACATCATGTAGAATTTTTAAAAATTAGAATGTCTACCATGACCACAGGTGATACAATATGGGACCACCATTATATACATGGTCTTTTATTCATTGAAACATTCATTTGTGGTATATGACTATTTGTAGCCTGTTTCCTAGGAGAGAGGGTATAAATTTCTGTTTTACCAAAGGAAGATCCATTTAGCTGTGATGATTAAAAGCATTAGGGACACAAATTAGAAGTGAAGATGAGGGGCTGGGGATTTAGCTCAGCGGCAAAGCACCTGCTTGGCAAGTGCAAGGTCGTGAGTTCGGTTCCCCGTACCGGAGAAAAACCAAAAAAAAAAAAAAAGAAGTGAAGATGAGCAGGACTTCCTAGCCACCGGTCTTGCTCAGTAATGGGACCTGCCTCCTGCCACAGCAGGGCCTTGC